AGGTGAATCCCAAAACTTTGTTGGGAAGCGCAGCGCGGTTAATCGGGAAGCGCAGGGAGGTTTTTTTGGGGAGAAAAGGGAAGTTTTTGGGGTTTTTTGGGAGGGTTTTGTTTGGATCTTTAAAAGGCCGGGAGTGATTCGGAAGCCGAGGTGTGAGATTCCCAAATCGCGGAGGAATTCCCGGGGATGGGCGCACGGCCCCGGGGGGATTTTATTATCCCGGTTTTCGTGGGAGGATCTCCCGAGAGATGTCGGGATGGACACCGGGATAAACTCGGGATAAACACCGGGATAAACTCGGGATAAACTCGGGGTAAACTCGGGATAAACTCGGAGTAAACTCGGGATGAACTCGGGGTAAACTCTGGGATAAACACGGGATAAACTCGGAGTAAACACCGGGATAAACTCGGAATAAACACCGGGATGAACTCCGGGTAAACACCGGGATAAACTCGAGATAAACTCGGAATAAACTCGGGATAAACACCGGGATAAACCAGGAATACACACCGGGATAAACACCGGGATAAACTCGGGATAAACTCGGAATACACACCGGGATAAACACCGGGATAAACACGAACCTCAGGGCACAGCCGAAGACTTTCCCCCTTTTTTCCAACCTCCAAACCCCTGGAGAGAAGCGGGAGGCGCGGGGAAAACACACCCCGCCATTCTCCCCCAATGTTTAACTTTCCCTATGATTTTTTTTAAAATTAATTTCTTCTTTTTCTCGGGATTTTCCCCCTTTTTCCTCGCAGTGTCCACCCCGCTGGGCCAGGGCAGGGTGAACCAGCTCGGAGGGGTTTTTATCAACGGGCGTCCTCTTCCCAACCACATCCGTCACAAAATCGTGGAGATGGCTCACCACGGGATCCGGCCCTGCGTGATCTCCCGGCAGCTCCGGGTCTCCCACGGCTGCGTTTCCAAAATCCTCTGCCGCTACCAAGAGACGGGATCCATCCGGCCCGGCGCCATCGGAGGCAGCAAACCCAGGGTGAGTGAGCTCACCCCAAAATTCCGCTTTTTTTTTTTTCAACCGGGAAGAGTTTTCCGAGTGGTTTTTAAACTGGAAAAAAAGGGTTTTGTTAAAGCTGAGGTGGTTTTTTTTGAGGTTCCGATTGGGAGAGTTGGAGGTGAGGAATGGATTAAAGTGGGGTTTTTTTGTCGTTTCCATGTGCAACAAGTGGCGCGGGATGGAGCGGGGTGTGGGGATAAATACTAATACTAATACTAATACTAATACTAATACTAATACTAATACTAATACTAATACTACTAATAATAATAATAATAAATTGGGAGTTGTTTGGGAATAGGAGATCCCTGAGTGTCCATAAACACCCCAAAAAGTGTCCCCGGAGCTCCCACCCTGCCCCAAACACCCCGCTTTTAGGATTTGGGGCCTTTCCCAGCTTTATTTCCAAATCCCAATTTCCCACCCCGGGCCGGGCAGGGCTGAGCTGCTCCGCGCTTCTTTGGAATTAAAATTTGAATTTTTTTCCCCTCCTCTCCCCTTTCCTCTCCCTCCCCTCCCCGTCTCTCCGTCCCCGCGGGGACACCCCGGCGCTCCTTGCTCACAAAAGCAGGTCGCGACTCCCGACGTGGAGAAGAAAATCGAGGAATACAAGCGGGAGAATCCCGGGATGTTCAGCTGGGAAATCCGGGACCGGCTGCTCAAGGACGGGCACTGCGACCGCAGCACGGTGCCCTCAGGTGAGAAGGCAGCTTGGCCGCAACCCCTGGGATGCTGGACGGGAATGGTTATCCTGAGGGAAAAGTTATCCCGAGGGAAAAGTTATCCCGAGGGAAAAGTTATCCCGAGGGAAAAGTTTTCCAGAGGGTTCGAAAACCCTCCTGGCTTTGATGGGATGAAGGGGGAGAATCGCCCCAAGCGAACCCCTGGGATTTGGGGAGGGATTTGTGCCCCGCTTGCTGCAAAAAAGGACGAGAACAAATCCCTTTTCCCAAGTTTTTCCGGCTCCCTGGAATGCCGGGGGGGTGCTGGGGCAGGGGGAGACCCTCAGGGGGAAAGGGGAGCCTGGATTGTCCCGCTGGGATTTGTGCAGCACCGGGAGATCCAGGGATCCCGGGAGATCCAGAGATGCCGATAAAGGCAGAGAGATCCAGGGATCCCGGGAGATCCAGAGATCCCGATAAAGGCAGAGAGATCCAGGGATCCACGGGATCCTGGGAGATCCAGAAATCCTGATAAAGGCAGAGAGATCCATGAGATCCCGGGAGATCCAGAGATGCCGATAAAGGCCGAGAGATCCATGGGATCCTGGGAGATCCAGAAATCCCGATAAAGGCAGAGAGATCCATGAGATCCACAGGATCCAGGGAGATCCAGAGATGCCGATAAAAGACAAGACATCCAGGAGATCCAGGGATCCTGGGAGATCCAGAAATCCCAATAAAGTCAGAGAGATCCATGAGATCCACAGGATCCCAGGAGATCCAGAGATCCTGATAAAAGCTGAGAGATCCATGGGATCCTGGGATCCCGGGAGATCCAGAGGTCCCAATAAAGGCCGAGAGGTCAATGAGATCCACGGGATCCTGGGAGATCCAGAGATCCCGATAAAGGCCGAGAGATCAATAAGATCCAGGGGATCCCGGGATCCAGAGGTGCGGGGATCCATGGGGAGCGAGGCTGGATCCCAGGGTGGGGTTTGGGGGGCTCCTCAGGGCTCCCCGTGAGTTTTGGAGCCCGGAGCTCCATCCCAGCTGGGGGAAATCTGGGAATTTTGGGGGTGACAGAGAACTGCTGCCCCTGGGGATGCGCCAACCCCGGGATTTCGGGAGATTCCAGCCTCTCCGAGCAGCGGATCCCGCTCTGGGGGGTTCGGGCAGCGCGGAGCAGGTGCATTCCCAGGGGGAGAAGAGCGGAATTCCCGGGCGCTCCCACTTTTCCGCAGGCAGCTTATACTCGCCTTTCTGCCTTTGACTGTCCGAGGTTTAGTGAGTTCGATTAGCCGCGTGCTCCGCATCAAATTCGGCAAGAAGGAGGAGGACGAGGACTGCGACAAGAAGGAGGAGGACGGCGACAAGAAAGCCAAGCACAGCATCGACGGCATCCTGGGCGACAAAGGTAGCGCGC